ACCCTTTCTTTCCATTAGTAGTATAACTCCTTGAACTATTCAGTTACTTTTTTTCCGTCTTCATGTGTGTTTTAGGATTTGGCCTCGGGGAAGACGATTGGTAGAGGAAGCATGGTGGATGGTCTCTACGTGTTGGAGAATAAAGCTGGTCTTGTGGCTACAGGGTCCTTGAGTTCGTCCAGTGAGAGTCAAGCCTATTTATGGCACATAGTCATTAAAAGTTATGTTTCCAAAGTTGTTTGTGTCTTTGTCAGTGAGTCAGTTGCAATGTCAGACATGTCAATTGAGTAAACATTGTAGAAACTTTTTTCCTTTGAGAAATAAAAGATCTGAATTCCCATTTTATATTGTTTATTCTAATGTTTGAGGCCCTGTTACTCTACCTATTGAGGCTGGATATAAGTACTTCATTACCTTGATCGATGATTACTCTAGATATGCCTTGGTTTACCCTATGCAATCTAGAGATGAAGTGCCTAAAATTGTGAAAGACTTTCAACGCATGGTGTTCACTCAGCTCCAAATTGAAACCCATATTTTCCAATCAGACAATGCAAAGGAATACTTCCATAGTGATCTCATAGAATTCTGTCTCAAGTGTATCACTTCAACGAAGCTCTTGTGCTAGGACACCCAAACAAAACGGTGTTGTTGAAAGAAAAAACCATCATCTTCTCGAAGTAGCTCATGGCTTGTTAATCCATATGAATGTTCCGAAATGTTTTTGAATGGATGTTGTTCTGTGTGCTACGTACATCATCAACTGTATGCCATCTCGGTTACTAGAGTATAAGGCCCCACATCAGCTTTTGTTTCCTATAGCTCTGTTGTCCCCCATTCCAATGCATGTTTTTGGGTGTCGTTGCTTTGTTCATAACTTGTCACCTACTCGGGGTAAACTTGATCCTCATGCTATTCCTTGTGTTTTCCTTGGTTACCCTTTATCTCAAAAGGGATATCGTTGCTATGATCCCACCTCTCACAAGTACTATGTCTCAATCGATGTATCCTTCTTTGAGAATCAAC